GGAGTAAGAGAGTTTATATACCTAGGCTCACAAATTAATCAGAATAATGCAGTAAGTACAGAAATTAACAGCTTAACAGATTAAGAAAAGTTTTAACAACAAGCATAGTTACAAAAAGAACGAAACTAGTGATATACAGAACTCTTATCAAGCCCGTCGTCACCTAAGCGTCGGAAACATGGACGATGTCTAAGAGCGACGAAGGAAATTTAAGATGCTTTGAACGTAAAATCCTCCGGTATATCTATGGAGGAGTACAGGAGAGCGGATTATGGCGTAGACGCTGTAATTTCGAACTTTACCGCCTGAATGACAAACCTGATATTATTAGGTCCATCAAAATAAACCGGCTGCGGTGGTTAGGTCACACAGAGAGAATAAATGAGATGGAGCCGCCAAAACATATTTATAACCAAAGAATAGATGGAGTGAGAAGGAGGCAGACCCAGAGCACGATTTAAGGATCAGGTGGAGGAAGACTTGAGAATGTTGGGAGTACGAAACTGGAAAGCCAAGACGAAGAATAGAGACTTATCCTTGAGCAGGCCAAGACCCACCATGGGTTGTGGAGCCAATGATGATGATGACCATTATCTTTTGTATTAATTTGTAATACGACGATGGGGGCTTTGGTGACTGTCATATGGACATCCCAAAAGCACTGTATTTAAATAATGATTAAAGGCAATGACATATTCTTGGTTTTACTGAACAATGATAACAATAACAAAACATAAAAAAAACAACTTAAATGTAGCTTAATCTAAGTACGCAAATAACAAAGAAAAACTACTAAAAAATAACTTAATACTTTGTGTTGCCTCCCCTAGCCTCTATAACTGCCTGTACACTTCGGCTCATGCTGTCTATGAGGTTGCGAATATCATATTGCTGGATGTTTTGCCATTCCTCTTCTACAGCCAAGCGAAGTTAGTTAAATGAGACTGGTGCGACTCTATGGTCTGGTGCTCTAATATTTCTACCAAGCATGTCCCAAACGTGATCTATTGGGTTCAGATCTGGCGAGCACGCTGGCCAGTTCATTTTATTAATACCAACTTCCTCTAAATATTGCGTGGCACACATTGCAGAGTGGGGTCGCGCATTATCTTGCATTAATAAAAAATCATCGCCGATATATTGAGAAAAGGGTACTACGTGATTCGCTAAAATTTCCTTAATATACTGGTGTGCAGTCAACGAACTCGCAATAAATACCAATTCAGTGTACGCCTCTCGTAATTTTCCTGCCCATACCATCACCGAACCCCCTCCATGGCTAACGCGGGACTGAAAGCGCACCCCGCAAATCTCTTTCCAGTTCGACTCCATACTCGTTTCCTCCCATGTGGTGAGTGAAGACAATATCTCAACTCATTCGTAAAAAGAACATTACTCCATTGTCCTAAATTCCAATGTAAATGTTCCCTGGAAAATTGTAGTCTAGCCACTCTGTGCTGTGGAAGTAATTTGAGCCCAGTTGCTGGTCTGCAACTTTGCAAACAAAATTCATGTAATCTTTGACGAACTGTAAAAAATACACTTACTTTGTTGCCTCGAACCTCTTGAAGCTGATTTCTTGTTTTGCACCGCTGTTAAATGACGACCGCGCAAAGCATTGACTCATAAAATAATCATCTAAAGCAGTAGTTTTGCGCTTCCTGTCACTTCCCGCTTTACGCTTGTTTGTTCCAGTTCGTATAAAACGTTCCACTACCCTTTGGATGGTAGAACGATGAGTGTGTAGTACTCTAGCCACATATTCATAATTTCGCCCATCTTCAACCAGAGCAACTGCTTTCTCACAATCTTCGACACTAAGAATCATGATGAATAATAGGTAAACAAAATGTGTCAATATAACATAATGATAAACAGTCACCAAAGCCACCTCGTCGTATTACAAAATAAATCCAAAATAATCATAATTAAAAAAGTCCTAAATTTTGCGAGGCAAATTCATTTGGCTGTAAAAAATGAACCAAGGTATATTTTGACATGAAACAAAAAACACAATGCTTAGGAGACAGGGTTGCAACCGAAAAATAAGGTTATACGAAAATTCGCAAACGAAATTACTCCACAGGATGTTTCAAAGTTAGAATAATAAAACCATGTTTTAATTAACCCCGTACAATAAGTCGAATAAGACCAGGACGCCGCCGAATATCCTGGCTTAAGAATTTGAGACAGTGGACAGGAATGACTACCACAGACCTATTTAGTACAGCTGCTAATAAAATACGATGGGCCATTGTGGTAGCCAACATCCATAGAGGATAGGCACTAGCAGAAGAAGAATAAGTCAAATATAAAATTTTATCAAAAAAGGGTTGAAAATAAAAAATTGGAATACTTTGAATTTGACCAAAATTTCCTCCGTTGCGCTTTTTTGCATCTGAGTGTATATATATATATATATATATATATATATATATATATATATATATATATATATATATATATATATATATATGCTGTCACTATTTTTCCGGGTTTGACTCCGCGTTGTGAAGTGCTGGTTTTCTTGAAAACCATTGTTTTGGCGACGTTTCGGCAAGGTCTCACTTGCCATTCTCAAGCCTGGTGGATCTACTTCTCGTCGTTACTCGATTAGTACTGGTCGTACTAATCGAGTAACGACGAGAAGTAGATCCACCAGGCTTGAGAATGGCAAGTGAGACCTTGCCGAAACGTCGCCAAAACAATGGTTTTCAAGAAAACCAGCACTTCACAACGCGGAGTCAAACCCGGAAAAATAGTGACAGCACATATAGCTCCCGCGGAAACCTCAAAACAAACATAATTAACCTTTACGGGAAGGAATTTCTACCAGACATCAGACGATACGAAAAACTACGATCCAAACGAAGCACACTTTTGTGTAATCTCACTTTTTTAGAACGCTGCCGCGACGAGGACATAATTCCTAAAAGCATGAAGCTTACGTTTCATAAAAACACTTATAAAACTAAAAACATCTTAAGAAGGGCCAGTTTTGCACTTATTAGGGAAGCTATCCATGACACGAGGCGGGATATCGACAAAGTAAATTCAGAATTACTTGAGCTACACCTAGTTCTAAGTAATAGTTTACATCCAATACTATGGAATACACTGGAAACACTATCCAACTTCCGAGCAGAGACAAATGCCGACTTAACAAAAACAAAACAACTCCAGTACTAATCGAGTAACGACGAGAAGTAGATCCACCAGGCTTGAGAATGGCAAGTGAGACCTTGCCGAAACGTCGCCAAAACAATGGTTTTCAAGAAAACCAGCACTTCACAACGCGGAGTCAAACCCGGAAAAATAGTGACAGCACATATAGCTCCCGCGGAAACCTCAAAACAAACATATATATATATATATATATATATATATATATATATATATATATATATATATATATATATACACTCAGATGCAAAAAAGCGCAACGGAGGAAATTTTGGTCAAATTCAAAGTATTCCAATATATATATATATATATATATATATATATATATATATATATATATATATATATATATATATATATATGTATATATATATATATATATATTCTATATATAAAGATTTCCGCGGTTAGTACAATGAAACCTAGAGCTAAGATTAATACTATTACAAAAATTAATATTAAACTCACCAGTTTTCCGGGTTGATCCGCGTCGATGTCCATTTTGCCGAGCTTTCGACATCCTCTCTGATGTCTTCCTCAGGGCTTCCGAGGTCTCAGTCTCTTGAGCCCCCAGACACTACTACACTGCACTGTCACTACTACAGTGCAGTAGTCACTAGTTTCTAATGACAGTAATGACTTTCATCATAGGGTATACTAGCCAGGTGATCCCCCATTAACACAACAACGTCATCTGAAATGTCCCTAGGTCTATTCAAATGTTTTCCTCCATTTTCTTTTCTTCAAATAAATCTCCCAAGTGTTTCCTCTTACAGACATACGATAGGCCCAGGTGTGGTCTCTTGTTTTTTTTGGGTTAAGAGATTGCCTTTTACTTTTTTTGGGATCTTCAGCCAGGTCCATACAGCTAGACAACTGGCTATCTTGAAGACTTTCGTTTTGGCAGTTGTAAAAGCAATCAAAAAGCTCTACTTGAAAATCAAGAGGCAGATTTTCGTGGCACTAAATTGAATGACTTGGAACTAACCTTCTTTCCTGACACAGATACGTATTCTTCACCTTGAATACGCCTTAATTTATTGGTCTCTTGTTTCTTATTTTTTTGTTTATGGATCACTTTCCTTTTCCTCTTCCCATCAGAACTATTAACTTCTTGAACAGCTTCGTAATCACTCCATTCTTCATGACGTATCATAGTTCTTATCAGAATTAAACTCGATGTAATAATAAAATAGAATAAAACTTATTAGAATAACAATACCGATACTTTAACCTCAATATAATATATTAATATTATATGACAAATGGCAAGTAATCGAAACAAATCAGAAGCGATAAATAGCCCTCCTGTACAAAACACCTGCAGAAACAGTTCCACCAACCTCATTTTTATAGATAAATAAATTAAAAGTATACCATTGTAAAGGGGGGAAACATGGCGGATCTAAATAGCCATTTTACGTAAAAAGGCACATAAGCCTATGTGCACTTTTCACGTCGACCGCCTCAATTGATCTATGGGTATTATTCCTCTATGTGTATTCAATCTCAGACACGTCGCAACTGTTTTTAAATAGTAAATAAATCTTTTTAAATAACTAATACCTTTTTTTTTGTTAAATGGCTCTTTTATCTTTTTATTATATTCAGACATTTATAATCATCCCCCAAAATACTGTTTATAATTATTAGGATTTAAAATTGACAAAAATTATGGTATCGCATTTAGTTTTATTTGTATTATATATTTTTATATATTGTGGAGTATTAACGGAAATTAAATAGAGCTAAAAATAAAATCAAAAGTGTATCAAAGTTGTCTGATTCTTATTAATATTAAAATACTTGTTGCAGGAATAGCTGGTTTATTCACACTATGTTCTAGCTTCATATTTACATCAACAGTATTAAAAATTCTTCGTATCAACGTAGCGGACTTCAAGTAAGTTCTATATATAAAAAAATAGTTCCATTTCTATTAATACTCTTTTATTTTCAGAGATGCCTTATTCTTTTTCTTACTCCTAATTGATTTATCGAAAGCAGCTATGTTAGCTCAATTCGCATTAAATGCGTCTGATCAAAACGAGGTCAAAAATAACATCGCGAAAGGAATGGCGCTTTTGGGACCCACCATTACTTTGGATACGATTGTTGAAACGTTAGTCATCGGGGTAGGCACTCTATCCGGTAAGTTTCAATAATTTAATCATTTAATTTGTTTTATTTGAAGCACATTATTATAAACTTTGCGAATTAAGCGGGATATACATCAAGAGAACAAGTACATCTGGCTCAGAACAGCAGAGTTATGTTAAGAATCAAAAAAATAATGAATTCGTTAGAAAAAATAGAATATTGGGGGTTTTACCATGAATTAAAACTGATTTCTATAAAAAACCAAAACAAATATTGTCATTATTGGTCTGATGACTGTCTTCAAAATTTTGCCTTTCATATTATTCCCGATATTTTAATTTTTGCTTATTGTTTCATTTAGGCAACCTGCAGCGCTGTTTTCTCTATTCACTTGATCTTTCACTTCTATTTCGAGCTTTCTGTAGCTAGATAGTGTGGTGCCTAGATGTTTAAACTCCATCACTTGTTCTATTATCTGACCTTTCAGCTCCAATTTACATCTTAATAAATTTGAAGTTATAACCATGCAATTTATCTTTTTTGGGGAAATTTGGGGAAAAAAAGTGCTATTTTATGACGTATGAATGCTGTGACGATGTCTTCTTGTTGGACTTACCCATATAGCCTAGAGTGCGACCTCAGTATTTCAGCCGGATGACGTATGTGAGCAGTGTTTCTCAAGGCTCCAAGATGTATGCCTTTATCCGGAATGTTTTCTATCTGTAGGTGAACTACAGAAAAAAGCCTCCTTGAAAAAACTGCAGAGAATTCTGCATCATTTCTAGAGAATTTTAAGTGCGATTGCTTTCCTTTTTGGGACAGCAATTGGTGTTGTGACAGCTCTGACATTCTTCGGCAAGGCTTCCGAGTCGTGGGTTTGTGAAATCAGGTGCATGTTGCTACGGGTATAAAGGGACGGAAATCACTGTTAAGTGTATAATATTCTTCGATTTGCACTCCTGGGATATGAAATGGAATTGGCAAGTGGAAGGAAAGTAAAAATTAGGTTCTTTATTTCACTTATTAACAAATAAGAAGAACCACTTACTTTGAATAGGTGCGGTGTTAAGGCCCACCGTCACAGACTTATTAGCTCAATAAACAAAAGATAAAGATAATGAACTTTAAATACGAATTTGGAAATAAAACACAAATTATAACTAAAAAGCACTTGCAACTAGCCGTAGAGTCTTATGAGTCAGGACAGAGACCAAGCTGGTTGGCTCTTTTGAGGTGAGTCTCAGACTTAGACTGCCTTTTTGGAGTTAGCTACTTCGTTGGTGTCTTTCTCTAATTGGATTGCTTCTTTTCAGTGAGTATGTGTGTGTCCACCTCTTCAGGACGTGATTCGTTTTGGGTCTCCCTCATTTTTCTCTATTGTGCTCTATCTGGAGCACGTTTCTTCTAATCTCTTTGTCATATATTGTAAGAGTTTTTCTGTATGTTTCTTAGTTACCAAATTTAGTCTTCCGCAGGTATTTTGATTATTATATACATACATACATAATTGCTCCTCTTCTAATGTTAGGTGTCCAGGGAGGTGACTTTAGCTTTTGATTAATTTTCTCCATGCTTTTCTGTTTCCCCCAATGAAAGTTGCTTTTGGCTGAGACTTTTTCTTATTTTGCAATATGTCTGCAATGTCGCCGTTTCACTCTTTTATTATTATTTATTATATTATATTATTATACTAATTTCTTGACATTTTCTTGAGATCATCAGTCCAACGAGTAAGGGGGTCCTCCTCTACTTCTTTTGTTTAACCTCAGCCTCGGCTCACAGGCAACACACATTGGTCAAATGTTTTACGTTTTAAAGAAATGAGTATATCGCTTTTAAAGATGTCTTTGAGTTTTCTATAGGTTGCCCATGATAGGTTTATTCTTCTTCGTAGTTCACATGTTTGGTTGTCTCTTGTGATCTTTATTTCGTGTCCAAGATATATATATTTTTCTACCAGCCCTACTTCTTTGTCTCCAATATTGATATTTCCGCTAGGCACTAGGTTTGTCATGAATTTCGTTTTGGAGATGTTTATTTCAAGACCCACACTGGCACAAACTAACTGAAGTTCATGTAGCATTATACAAATCTCCTTGACGTTGTCCGAGAACAAAACTATGTTGTCTGCGAACTTCAAATTCGTTAATCTTCTACCGTCAATGTTCAGGCCTTCCTCTTTCCAGTTCATTCATCACCCTGTCAGACTCCTCTGCCGATTGGGACATGATCCGTGTTTTTATGTAGTTTCACCGACATAGTTGCGTTCTTGTATCTATTGGAAAATAACCTTGTCAATGCGGCATGCTTGTAGTGCTTCCAGGATTTTGTCAAATTCTACTGTGTCAAAGACTTTATGGAAATCTACAAAAGCCAGAACGAGTGGTCGATTGTATTCGATAGTCTTTTCTATTACCGTTTTAATGCTCTGTAGGTGATCATTTGCTCCAGATCCTTTACGAAATCCCGCTTGCTCTATTGGCTGATAGAAATCAAGTTTTTTCTCAATACGATTCATTACTGTTCTTGTAAGGAGTTTGTATAGGTGACTAACAAGACTTATAGGTCTGTAATTTTCTAATTCATGGGGATCTCCTTTTTTGAACAATAGGTTTACCTCAGCATTGTGCCATTTGGCGGGTATAAGTTCTGTCCAAAAGGCACATTTTAAAAGAGTTTTTATTTTCTTAAGTAGGCAAGTACCTCCAATTTTGATTACATTAGTAACTATACAATCTTCGCCTGGAGATTTGTTATTCTTAGCTTTTCTTAGGGCTAGTTCTATTTCGTCTGTTGTGATTTCCGGTAGTAGTTCTGATCCTTGGTTGACAATGCCCTTTTTCCTTGTTAATATTTCTTGTACTTGATCTTCTCTGCTATTTGTTTTATGTTGGCTTGTGTACAGCAATTTGTAGAAGTCTTCGACTATTTTAAGGGTTTCCTCTCTGTTGGTTGTAATATGAGCATTTCAATCTCTAATCTTTATTATCTGCCTTGTCCCCTTTCTTAGTCTTTTTCTCAATACTTTCATACTTCTATTGTTCTCAATGGTATGTTCGATTTGTTCTTGGTTATATTTTCGAGTGTCTTGTTTAACAGCTTTGGATATTTCTTTATTTAATTTTTGTAGTTCATCAGCTTTGGTTTCCGTATCGCTTCTCATTTCTCTTCTTTCCATTAGTTGCCTGGTATTTTGACTAATCATCTCTTCTTTTTAAGTTCTAGGACAGAATTTGTTTTGACTTTCCGTAAGAGATTTGGCAATTATTATTTGTCGTTTATATTGTTTTCTGTTTTAAGATTACTAAGTATGTCGGAAATACGTTGCTGAAAACTATCTGCATCTGATGGTTTCATCCATGGTTTGATTTGTTCTTCTTTTTAATCATCTTATACCTCTCCCACTTTAAGCTTATTTCTATTTTACCTCGTACCATTCTATGATCGCTACTGGTAACAAATCTGTGTAGAACCGTGATGCCTTTAACGGTGTGTTTTTTGTCCGTGATAATAAAATCTATTTCTTCTTTGATTTATGAGTTCTTCCATTATGACTTTGCCATGTCCATCTTCTCTGTTTCTTTTTGAAAAAACTGTTCATTTGGAATAGTCCATGTTGCAGCATTAACCTTAACAGTATTGCGCCACATTCATTTCTACCATCCAAGCCAGTTTCCCAGTGGTGTTTCTGTAGGGTTGAATTTGATTCCTGTTTTGGCGTTATGAATGATATGTGACTGAATTTAAATCTATAAATAATTGAATATGAATTGATGTCGCGTTGAGGGCAGCTGGGGTTCTATCCTGCCTCAGGACAGGTATAATTGTGCAGTGGGATAGGGAAACCACAGACAATCGATCCCTCCCTATCCATGACAGAGCTCGAAGCGAGCTATTTAGCTAGTTGTTTTTTTGACTTAAAAAATACCACAAACAGGCCTGTTTATGGAATCGGTGGAATTCACAAACCAAGTGGCCAATAAAATCGCAGTTCCGGAGATGCAGTCGGGACACTTAGCATGTGAGTGCGCGTCCGAAGACACTACTTTATTAATGTCCACGTCAGAAATCGTTATCAAAAGAAAAATTAAAATTATTTTTTTTTAATTTTTCTTTTAATCCAATAATATACATCTTACTTATTAATTGACAAAATCAAAAATATCGGGGAATATCCAAAATAATATGTGTATATTAAATAGGATGTTTACTAATATTAACAATTTTAATGTTTTATAACATAAATATAAAAAGAAAAACTATTTTCAGGTGTCTATCGTTTAGAGATGTTGTCGTACTTCGCCTGTTTGTCAGTTTTAGTCAACTACATGGTTTTTATGACATTTTATCCAGCGTGCCTATCTTTAACTTTAGAGGTAAGTTAGAAAATGATTAGTAACTGCCATGCTCATTAAACTCTTGGAAGTTTAATTGAGATAACGAAGGTGATTTCTTAGCATTGAAAACTTAAACTACACTTGCAAGCAAAAAAAGCGACTCACTCTATGAATTGGATTTTATGCTTAGTAATTTTATGTTGTTACTTTCAATTAAGATAACTAATGGAAAAAGATATTGTCTATTATAGAGCCTCCAAAAAATAATTGTTTTATGCAAATTGATTTGTTATAAAATTTGCCTACTTCTGGGAAACCTTTAATGCAGCAAACATTGTAACAGGGATGTTCTACGCAATGTAGACCCTATGACTATAAGTTTTCCGGTGGTCGTTTCAGTCGCTTTTCAAACGTTAAAGTGTGTGTACTTCAAAGTGCATTAAGTGAATATTTTATAAATGGATACTTTACCAACAATCCTTGAGGAATGTAAGAGGTGTCACTGTCACTCAGTGGAATGTTGGGAGAAGACTTAAGGCTGCCACTTTGACTCCCAGACGAGCTTACACAGGGCCCATATTGAAGGCACGTCAGAAACAAGCTCGACTTCAGTTTGCCCGAGAACACGTCAATTATTGGATTTAACATTTAACCCTCACCCTCTGGTGAGTCATCAGAGGTTTGACCCCTAAAAATAATACGAACAAGCTGAATTTTGCCGAGAATATCAAATTTGGGATCCCAAAAAAGATGCGAAAGAGTTTACCACTTTTACCCCCTGGCTTCCCCCTAAAACTACCCTCGTAGGAGGGTAAAAATGCAAGAAAATAGATTTACCAAGAATCTGTGTAGAAAAATTTTTTTTTTATAAAAACTATAGCTGAGATAATTTTAAACAAAAATGTTTATTAGCACTTTTTCTGTAGAATCGACCGTTCTCTCAGAAATAACGCTTGAAGTGACCGGCGATTTTGAATAGTTGCGCACACGAAATCAATGTTAAATAAAATTTGTATCATCTCGATGGTAAAAATTCGATATTTTTATCAGAGTGTCCTATCGACAAAAATCAAAATTGATCTTAACGGTGTATAGTGCAGCTTTCCGCAGCTTGCCGCAAATGAAGTCAGTTGCTATTTCAGATGCAAAAAATGCAGAATTCAAACTTTTACATTAAAAACGATCGCATGTCACGGGAAATGCCTCCAAGAAGACGGTTTTGGGTGTAGTTTGTAGCAGAAGTTGTTTACTTTTGAAAAACGCACTAGTGTAATTTAAAAGGAGCAGTTTTAAACGTTTTAGATCTTTGGGGCATTGAGACTTACCCCCTATTTTTGTGTGTTTAATCCTCTAAGTTGGTTTGGGGACAATTAAAACCAAGTATAAAGCGTGCAAATACATTTCCTAAATTTGATAAGAAGGTAGTTGAGGTAATTAAAAAAGAAGTATCTAATATTACCAAAGAAGACTGTCAGAAAAGAATCGCCAAAGTGATCAAAGTTGAAGAATACTATAAGAAGAACTTGCTTTGCTAATTTCTGTAACAAGTGGGGAAAGTCTCTTGCTCTTAAAAACAAAAATGTTTAGCTTGGTCTCTCCTAGTCGTAGTGGTCCATCTCGCCTCCACAGTGGAGGAGAGATAGACCGATGACATGCCAGTGCATTATATCTTTTTTTAGGTTTAAGAATTGTTATGTCTAGTTTTTACTTATACCAATGTTAAGTTATGTTACACAATTTTTTAGATTCTGATGTTTATTTAATAAGAAACAGGTTTCAGTTTTATAAAGTGTGGTCCATCTCTCCTTATTTTACCCTGCCTAAGTAAAAAATAAATATTTAATTACCTGATATATATAATTACATATTTAATTACCAGAATAACCAGCCTCCACACTATATCTTAAAGCAGAACTATCAAAACCTAGAAATCTGAGCGTTCTACTATGTATTATCTAAGACCATACATCACGTTTAAAAAAATATACAACTGTATTAGTATTCATAAGATAAAAGTAATCAAATCATACTAATTTTAAATGCAACACTCAATATATTAATATGTAACAATAAAACACTGAAAACTTTGTTTTCAAACTTCCACAAAATTTATTTTTAATCTTATCACTACAGCTGTTTCGGCTGACAGCCTTTCTCAAGTGATCTATTTTTGGCTTGGGTTTACAAATGTATAGTCTCCAATGAAATAGGTTGAGGAGGGGAGAACTGTTTGTCTCAAGATGGTCATTCAGAATTATATCTCTGTTTTTTAATTTGTTGATTTCCATAGATTCTAACAAAGATAGCTTAAGGCCTTTATTTTGAATGTGAAGAATTTTAAATTTGTCATTAAAAGAATGATTATGATCTAGAAGGTGAAGTGCGTATGTCGAATCTGTTTTTCTATTCTTGAAAGCCCTTTTATGTTCTGCTATTCGTTTATCAAAGTTTCTACCAGTTTGACCGATGTAAGTTTTTGGGCAATCGCCACATTGAAGTTTGTACACACCACTATTTAAGTGTTTTTTATTTTGGCTCTTGTTATTTTTAATATATTTGCCTAGGTTGTTATTTGTTCGGAAAGCTGGTGTTATTCCTTTCTTTTTTATGTGTTTGGCAATTTTTGTTGTTATTTTGCCTGTATATGTAATCGAGCAGAAGGTACTGGGTTTTTTCTCTGGTGGTGGAAATACTAATTTCAGGGCTTTCTTGTGTAGTTTTTGATTTAACATTTTATTAATTGTTTGTTCGTTGTATCCGTTGTTTACTGCTATTTGCTTAATTATATTTAATTCTGTCTCAAAGTTGTCTTTTGACATCGGAATTTCTGTTAATCTATGTAACATACTATGATAAGCTGCCAGTTTATGTTGTGTTGGATGGGATGATGAATTGTGTATAGTCGTGTCAGTAAGGGTAGGTTTATGAAATATGGAGAAGTCATGTTTGTTTTGAAGTCTGCTAATTTTTAAATCTAAAAAAATTATGCATTGATTTTGTTCTGTTAGTTCCTGTGAAACATACCTGTAAACATAATAAAATATATACAAATAACAGTGCAGGACTTATAATGGGTAATCCTCTAAGCCCATTGCTATCAGATATTTTTCGTATATTAATTCACTTCATAGTCATATTGAATTTACAATAGAAACAGAACAAAATCAATGCATAAATTTTTTAGATTTAAAAATTAGCAGACTTCAAAACAAACATGACTTCTCCATATTTCATAAACCTACCCATACTGACACGACTATACACAATTCATCATCCCATCCAACACAACATAAACTGACAGCTTATCATAGTATGTTACATAGATTAACAGAAATTCCGATGTCAAAAGACAACTTTGAGACAGAATTAAATATAATTAAGCAAATAGCAGTAAACAACGGATACAACGAACAAACAATTAATAAAATGTTAAATCAAAAACTACACAAGAAAGCCCTGAAATTAGTATTTCCACCACCAGAGAAAAAACCCAGTACCTTCTGCTCGATTACATATACAGGCAAAATAACAACAAAAATTGCCAAACACATAAAAAAGAAAGGAATAACACCAGCTTTCCGAACAAATAACAACCTAGGCAAATATATTAAAAATAACAAGAGCCAAAATAAAAAACACTTAAATAGTGGTGTGTACAACTTCAATGTGGCGATTGCCCAAAAACTTACATCGGTCAAACTGGTAGAAACTTTGATAAACGAATAGCAGAACATAAAAGGGCTTTCAAGAATAGAAAAACAGATTCGACATACGCACTTCACCTTCTAGATCATAATCATTCTTTTAATGACAAATTTAAAATTCTTTACATTCAAAATAAAGGCCCTAAAGTATCTTTGTTAGAATCTATGGAAATCAACAAATTAAAAAACACAGATATAATTCTGAATGGCCAATTTGAGACAAAAAGTTCTCCCCTCCTCAACCTATTTCATTAGAGACTATAAATTTGTAAACCCAAGCCAAAAATAGATCACTTGAGAAAGGCTATCAGCCGAAACAGCTGTAGTGATAAGATTAAAAATAAATTTTGTGGAAGTTTGAAAACAAAGTTTTCAGTGTTTTATTGTTACATAAAATGAATTTCCATCAAGTAACGGTCGAATCCATCAATTATATTAATATGTTGCTAATTGTTAATAAATATGATCTTGTTACTGTAGTAATATTTGCTATATTTACCTTTAAACATTTTGCAATTATTTGCATTTTTTTAAATATTACCTATAACTTATTGTGATCAAATTAATTAATAATTATAAACCAAACAAGTAAATTCAATAACTTCGCTGTAGGTACTGCGATAATATTAAATCTAGTATTCTTGAATGCTGCACGTTTTTTTTTAATTTTCAGCTCTCTCGTTGCACGGGGATGTACACTAACAAGAACAGTTTGATCAAAGCATTCCGAGAAGAAGACCACAAATCAAATCCTGTAGTACAGCGAGTGAAACTAATAATGTCCGCAGGGCTAATGTTAGTACATGCACACAGGTAAATATACCCAGTAAAATAATTTAAATATCAATGAATGGAACCGTAAATAGCATAGATAGTGAATAGCTATTTAATATTTACAAGCTCTTGACCTTTTTTAACTTATTTTTACCGTGTATATTGTTATTTGAAAGATGTTTAAAAGATTATCGTATGAGGTAATAACAGGAGTTCTTTCGTATAGTTCTTTTTACCGTTATTGGTTTTTGGTCTTTAATAAGTTCTTTGAATAATAAGAGTAATTCTATAACTATTTTTTTGTGAAACATCTAATGCGGCTGGTAACTCTTTTGAGCATATGCACTGTTGTTGTTTTTTGGAAGATATTGACTGTGTTCTATTTTAGGGGTAGACAACCTTTTTCGGATGGCGGGCTGTTTTCAAATGTAACTTAAATAGTGCTTTTATATCATATACAAGTAAATATCATTTGAAATAAATATGGGAAAGAGGAGATAGCCGGATAAGAATGTCAAAATTGCAGTAAAAACTTGACCCCAAGTTTTGGCGTAATGTTTGGCATCTCAAACAATGAAGACTCGCCAAATTTTAGCCCAAAATATTGACACATAACCTCAAAATTCCATAAAACGTCAAAAATCGTTTTTTGGCTATAATCCGCTTAATTTTTTGCATATAACAGTAAACGATGTGTACAATGAACAAAGGGACAAATGGTTATAAAGGTAAAATAGTGGGCTTTGAAAAATGACAGTTTTCATATTAAATCGTAAACGGTAGGCTTTGGAGTTTGCAAACTCCATTAATTAGAATTTGTAGAGGTGTCAGACAAGGGGATACAATCTCACCCAAATTATTTACTCTAGCGTTGGAAGACATTTTTAAATCTATAGACTGGGACAATAAAGGGATTTGTATAAACGGGAAATATTTAAATCATCTAAGATTTGCCGATGATGTACTCCTGATAGCAACAACTATGTAACAACTGCGAATAATGATTTCAGACCTAGAAAAAACATCTCTTGAGACAGGACTAAAAATGAATCTAAAGAAAACTAAAAAAATGAATAATACAGAAGACAGATCAGTAATTACCATAGGTGGAACAAACATAGAACACGTCCAAGAATATATTTACTTAGGACAAGCTATCAGAGCAGACAAAAGTAACCAGACTAAAGAAATAACTAGAAGAATAAGAATGGGGTGGGCTGCATTCGGAAAACTCTCATATACTATCAAAAACCAAAAAATACCTTTAAAATTAAGAACGAAGGTATTTAATACATGCGTCCTTCCTGTTCTAACATATGGTGCCTAGACGTGAACATGTACCAAGAGCAACTTAGATAGAATAAAGAAAACTCAAAGAGCTATGAAAAGACAAATGTTGGGACTATCGTTGAGAGATAAAAAGAGGAACGAGTGGATAAGATGCAAAACTGAAACAACAGACGCTGTCGAACATGCATTGAAATTAAAATGGAAATGGGCTGGGCATAACGAAAGATATTAGGATGGAAGATGGAATAAAGAAATTGGCCGCTGGGACCTCACTTACTTACTTACTCCGTGGCGTTACGACCCTTAGTGGGTTTTAGCCGACTCGACAACATGCCTCCACTGTTTTCTGTCTTGAGCAACCTCCATCCAATTCTCCACGCCCATAGTGCTTAGGTCTCCTGCTAGATTATCTCGCCACCGGAGACGAGGGCGTCCGCGTGGTCTCCTTCCAGTTGGCACTTCCTCCCACACCATTCTTACTGTTCGTTCATCAGAATGTCTTCTGAGGTGTCCTGCCCATTGGAGTCTTCTGGATTTAATTTCTTTTTGATGTTGGCGTCTGGGTAAAGTTCTTCGAGCTCTTTGTTAGTTTTTATCCTATATTGTCCTGATGCTTCATCCAGCACAGGACCAAAGATCTTCCTTAGGATTTTTCTTTCCCAAACACATAGTCTCTCTTCGTTTGCCTTTGTTATCGTCCACGTTTCGCTTCCATACATCACAACGGGTCGTATGATTGTTTTATAGACCTATATCTTCGTACGTCGTGTTAGTTGTTTCGATTTTATAAGGTTTTGGAGGGCAAAAAGATATCTGTTGCCGGCCTGAATCCTGTTGTTTATTTCTTGTGATCCGTTATTGTCGTCAGTTTTTGTTGTTCCAAGATACTTGAATTATCTAACGCGCTCAAAGTTAAAGTCATCGATGGTGATGTTCTGACCGATTCTGTCTCTGCTTTGGTTATTGCCGCTGGAGACAAGGTCAGGAGAGAGGTCAAGAGGTCGACTGCAAATGAGATGGAAAGATGACATTGAGCAAAGCGCAGGTTTAATGTGGAAAAGACAAACAGAAGACAAATGGAGACAAATGGGAGAGGCCTATATTCAACACATGAATAGATTTTGGGCTATAGATAGATAGATAGATAGGCTTTGAAAAAAACATTTTTCATATTATTACCTTTTTAATCGGTATGTGTGGCTTTTTTATTGTTAAAAATGAATTTTTCTATAGAAGAGTTAACAGATATGATCTGGATATTAAAAGAAAGTTCGAGAAAAAGCTTACTTGCATCTAGAATATATCAAGAGCGATATAATGAACGAAGGAAGCCAAACGCAAGTGCTTTTGAAAAATTAATGGTCGTTTTTTTCGCACTAGGTAGTTGTATATGAAACACTCGTGAAACAACGTCTGTTTTGCTTGCAATTCGTAGAAGGCACAGATTAAAGCAATGATCTGAATTTGGTTTCGAAAATTAGTTTACGGATTTTAATATCAGATGTCGCTATTTGCATCTATACGAAGCCTTGTTAGAGTTGCTTCTTAAGACAGAAAAGACGTTGAAGGTGGACATTTTGAGCATTTACGTTTTTCCTTATATCACATTAATTGTTATATTCATTACATATTATTAAGGTTTATATTTTTGTTAGTATCTTATTGCATAAAAATAATTTTGTTACATTATCACTCAATACTCAATACTAATTTCTACGAACAATAATTGAATGTATTCCCGAAATTTGATGAAATCTAAAAATATCTCGGAAAATAATGAGTTGAGGTATAAGGAATGCTATATAAAAATAAAAGAGTATCATAAATACACTATTTCTAAAAAATACAGGTTGGTCCGTTTAAAAAAATTGAGAAAATCGTAATGTTGTTTTGTAGTTCACTTTGTATACAAATTTTAGTTAATGATTTCAATTAAACTTCATTTAAAACTACAATATATTGTTTACCTTATTATATAAAATAGATAATTGGTTATGGATTACTTCTTTATATATATGGTGTTGATTTCATAGGAATTTCGAAATAAAAATGGTCCTAACTTGTTAAATACTCTGTATTAAAATTTTCATAGATTTGTGTTTTACAAAAAACCACTCAACACAAAAAATTCACAATTCAAACTTATACAAAGTCTGCTTAGTTTTCTTAATGCCATATTCTCTTCCGTGTTCCCTTCTCATAATTTCATAGCAAACTGTACACCTTCGTCTTGCTGATTCAATTTTTTTCAGGCAACAAGTTTTTAACACTTCTTCTTGTCGGTCTTGAGGGATATTTGCTTGAAATAGTTTTCGAGTGACCGCTTCTCTGAAGGCATTAATTTGTATGTTATTTTTAATTATAGCTTTATACAAAATAAATGCATTTGTCATTGCTGAGATAGTAAGAAACTCAATCGCTAGCTTACGGTACTATTAACACCTCTTCGTAATGCACTTCGAATATGATTTAAGCTGATCTGAAATATCAATAAATACTTTACAATTATTATAATTGGTCAGTGCTTGCGGTTTTTCTACTAGCGTGTTATTTTTACCCTGAACCTCCACGTTGTTATCTGTGTATACTGTGCTACGGATCAAGACATCTCTTTTATCTTTCCACTTCATAACAACTACACCAGTATTACTTTCTCGTGTAATAACTTTATTTCTTTTTAACTTTGCTTTTATATCATCTTTAGGGTTTAATTTTCTATTGGATCTAAACATACCTATCAAATGTGTTGTTCTACCTAAAAGCTGGCAAAGTTGACACTTGTATAAAAATTGTCTGTATAGTATTCTACCCCAATCCAAGAGTTTATCCATCAATGACATAACAACTGAAGATGACGCTGAAGTACCTTGCTCTGTAATGTCTTTTCCACAGTTAACTTTCAAGTTGAAGGTGTAGCCATTTTCTGTACATAATTTGTAGAGTTTTATGCCGAACTTATGTTTCTTTTTTTTATATTGCCTGAAGGCCAGCCACCCACGAAATGAGACCAGAATCTCATCAATACATACATTTTTTTTTTTGGAATATTAGCAGTTTGAAATCGGTCCAACAAACAATCAATTAGAGGTTGAATTTTGAAAAGTCCATCACCTCTTGGGCACTCAATATTGTTAGAAAAATGCCACATGCGTAATATTAGTTCTAAACGATTTCTTGACATATATTTTGTGATATTATTGGCATACACGAGGTCCTTGAGCCAATAATCTGAAAGTCGAGGTTTTTGTTCAAACCCATCCAAATAATCATAGCTAAAAAAATTTCAAATTCTTGCTTCGTTAGGTGTTTCCACTTTTTTAAGCTTGAATGCTGAGATATATTTTTGTTTAAAATGATATGCTCAGCATATCTGTTCGTTTCAATTACAGTTGTCCATAATATTATCTGTTACAAAAAATTTAAAGAAATCATATGGTCCTTTATGCGCTAATAAATATGCGGCGTTAGTTGAAATACCAGGATTTAGTGCATTGAAATCAAATACCTTAGAGTTTGTCCCGTTACAGCAGTCCATTTAAGCTGAAATTTAGCAGCAGTAACTTCTAGTTCAGTGTCGCTGTGATATGTGTCTTGAGCGTCCAAAATATCGGTTGAAAGTTGTTTTAGACCTTTATCTTCAAATGCTTCACAACTATGTTGAAACACTACACTATCTATAATTTCATCTACGTGGCTTGTGTATTGTTCTGCACTTTTACGTTTTAACTTTTTTGATCGGTCTTTCGTTTTCACAATCATCCGAGTCTGACGGAGCCGAAATATAATCGTTTTCAGAATTATCACTTCCTCATCACTCATAATTATCTCATGGTATATTATTTGCAAATACTGTTGTTGTTCTTCGAAAGTATGACAATTTTTCGCCATACTAACAGATAAAAAGGTCAATACGTTACAGATTCGAGGAACACTTTGACAAGCTGTTATTGTAATAAATGTATGGGAGAGGCTGGTACAGTGTCCACCTTTCGAGTAAAGTCAAGATAACTTTAATATAAATCATAATATATTAATGAGTATCAACTCAAACAACTTCAAAGCACTTGGTAAATTAAAACTGTACTCTGTAATCGCAAAAAAATACAGGTTATGTAGAAGTTTGAAGTTGAAGAATTTTTTTTTTTTTCAAAAAATGTGGCCACTGTACCAACTAGATGGTACAGTGGCCACAAAGGTAAGGTACAGTGGTCATTATTGCAACTTGCAATTCTTATATTTTTATGTATAATATTCATAAAAAAAGAAAAGTAATATTAATCTTTAACAAGTATTATAAGATGATAAATCCGCTTTAAAAGTAAACAAATTTGCTGTCCGTTGTGTTGCTCTAGCCCTTTTTGCTTGAATTAAAATGAGTTCAACATCTTTTGTAATTGTGGCAGAATCTGTAGCTGTAGGAAATGAAAACTGTATTCCGTGATGCCTTAGAAAATTTACATTGTATTCTTGACCAGAAGAAAAAACTTCTGTAACTTGTGCAACATAAAATTTTGACGTTTGAAACTTCAAAACTCTGATTTCTTCAGAGGACCAAATACAGCTTTATCTAGTGGCTGAAGGCGATAAGTAGTATGTGGCGGCAAAGTCAACAATATTATATTATTTTCTTTTGCAAATGTAATAGATGCTAAAGAAAAATGGCTCTCATGCTTGTCCATGATTAGGAAAATGGACGATTCCTTTGTAGGATTAGTATGTTTGACAAAATGTATCACCCACGGTTCAAATAATTCTGCTGTCATCCAGATGGTGCAGCATACCCCTGGGAGCCTGGAGGTGCATTTTTAACCATATAATCTTTAAAACAATTCCTAGGCAACACTAAGAACGGTGGAATCGAATTAACTATAGCGTTTATTGCATTGCACATGGTTAACAAAGTGCCTCTTTCATTTGAAACTATATGGCCTACTTGTTTCTGTCCATTTTTGGCTATTACTTTTCCTGTATCTTGCACAGTTGTTAGTGCTGTTTCGTCAACATTGTATATCTGACTAGGTGGTAATGCATATTTTTCATAAATCTTCTTAAGATTACTAAATTGCTCTACCTAGTGAAGTTGCTTCTGCTGATCGTAATGATAATTCTGAATTTCGTTTCATAAAACTTGTAAACCAAAACTTATCTGCCATCTTGTTTTCTTCCCATGAAGTTGGTATTTTTTCCTGTTAGCAATTGCCAAATCATAAGCTAATTGTCTGGAACCTTTCGGATTGAGACCATGATGATCATCGTCTGTAAATAATTACTCATTTTGATTCATACCATAATTTGGGGTCAATCTTGGAGCTCCCTCAAGAACATCTGAAGTCCAATCTATATTACTTTTATTTTCGATGCACTTTTTAAAATATCTCCTAAACGTAGTGCGTGGAATGTCGTATTTTAAAGCAGCAGCTTTTTGTGAGAATCCACCTTCCCAAACATCATTAATCGTTTTTCTCATATTTTCATCTTTAGTTTTTCCAATACAGGGATTTTTTGGTATTTTCTGCGGCATATTACTATCTGAAACAAAATTATTTTTAATATTTTTTGCAGAAAGAACAATGACCACTACTTTTTACAAACGTATGTAGGAACAGTGGCCACCACTTTTTTTGCCAAAAACAGTGGCCAATGTTCCTGCATAAGTGTGTGACCACTGTACCAAAAGCTCATTGTTTTGGAGGCATAACCTAAAATCTACTACTTTGAAGATAGATCATAATTTGCATCAGCTGCAAGTTTTAAATACCAAAACATACAGAACATCTAATATGTATATTATTATTGGCTGAAAAGATGTTCGTATACAAAATGGTTCTGGAAACGATGGTGCAGGGGTCAAGCGTAATAGGCGACTACTGTGACTAAAATTGTTAGCGTTTGTACTAGATGGCGCGTCTGTATCTATCAACCAACAACAAAATATTTAAAAGTGGCCACTGTACTTGACTGGCCACTGTTCCAGCCTCTCCCCTAGCTGTTCACACCCGTAAATGAAAAAAAAAACATTTTTAAGAGTTAATTTTAAATTATCCTTATTATAGTGCATCAAAATGCACTAGAAAGAAATAAAAAAAATTAACGTGACGGTTAATGTGTTAATAGTATTTGGAGTAATGACGTATACATTTAGAACGCTAGAAAGAACTATAAAAACATACGTTTTCGATTTTAGTCGTTGGCCATTCAAAGAAGAGGACACTGATGATATTGGCTCATTGGTTGTTGAACAGCATATCACTCTCAACCGTACGGAAGAAAACGCTTTACATGGATATATTATGAAGTAAGTCAAATTTTTATATATTCATTTACTACTAAAAATAAATCCTTAAATGCTTATAATAGTTATAATCATAGCTGCTCATTACTACTAATCCAATTCATAAAACTTATCATTTTTCCTATCTTCAGTATTATAGATAGGTATGATCTCTTGTATTAGTTATTCTCTTGCATCCTTTTATATTTCTATAGATATTTTTCAATTTATTCCAGTTTTATTTAATTTTATTTTCTTACCTTTATTATCTCTAGTATCATTGTTTCTGTAACTAGCTGGACGAAGAATAGTTCAGTGAGTCATTTTTAGTATTTTAACCCTTTATAGGGTAAAACTTTTCTTTGCAGTATTAGGTCATTTTTATGAATTATGTATGTCATAAAATGTTTAAAAAATTCCAAGCTTGATTAGAAAAAAGCTTGATCAGAAAAAAAACGTTTGGTGAAACGTTTTGTGCAGTAGCAATATCAGCATGGTTGGTGATCAACAGAATAACCATTTTTATTTTAATCATTTATTTGTCATAAAGATACAAAAGATATTGTAGGTAGCTTAATATTATGAACTTTATAATGTGTGGAATGGTTCAAAATATGAAACACACAATGCCACATCACATTCTTTACAAATAAGTGTTGATCTGACAACTTTCTTTTTTGTACTACAGTACCCACACCGTCGTACGTTTTCCTTCATGGCTAAATATTTTTCTACTTCCGATTTTCGTACAGTATCTGTTGTGTTTACAGATCGTCCATTTTGTTTTCTAATTTTGTTTTGGAAACAATCACTGCTGGACCTGGTCTTTTTCTGGTGCAATAATCTTGTGTTAGCTCATCAGCTAAATTACTGCGAAACATCAAATGAGACATTGGTTTTGTATTTCTCTTGTTACAATCAATTTTATAACTTATGTAGGCGTTGACAATTGAGGCGTCAATTAGATAATAGCACAGTTTCATCCACCATCTCCTGGATTTCCATAAAATATTATACGAGGACATTTTGAATATGATGTATGGGGCGTATGGGCTCTCTCTTATCGTTTCCTCATTGCTGAGGATCGTGATTCCCTACAATGCGGGCTGTCAATTCTCTCCATCTCTTGCGATTTTGGGCTGCTCTCATGGACTCGGAAAACGTCTCTCCAGTGGCTTTCTGTACTTGATCTGACCATCGGATAGGTGAGCGTCCTCGGCCTCTACGTCCTTCTACGTTTCCGCACACAATTAGTCTTTCTAAGTTGTCATTGTCTCTTCTCGCAATGTGGCCAAAAAACTTTAAAACATTTGCAAGACACTGAGAGGAGAGTCTGGTCTGAATGTTTAGCTCTTCGAGAATCGACTGATTGGATCTGTGCTCCGTCCACGAGACGCGTAGCATTCGTCTCCAGCACCACATTTCGAATGTGTCAATCCTTTTCCTATCCTCTGATTTTATTGTCCATGTTTCGGCACCGTAACTAAAGATTAAAAAAACGAGTGTCCGTACCAGTCTCATTTTGAGTTTCTTGGACAAAGAGCGGTCCTTCCATATTTTTGACAGTCGACTCATCGCGTTCTTGGCCATTCCTATTCTTCTGCGAATTTCCGTATGGCAGTAGGCTGCATTGCTTAAGGAAGATCCTAGATACGTGAACTCGTCTACTTTCTCGAATTGATTTAGGGCGCCTGTTGTTTGGAGGATATTCGCGTGGTCCACAATCATGATTTTTGTTTTCTGATTATTAATCTTGAGCCCACACTTGTTGCTTTCGGTTTCTACTCTCTTTATCAGTCTCGACATCTCCTCTTCAGATGTTGCTATCAGTGTTGTATCGTCTGCGAATCTTAAGTTTGAGATCTTTTTCCCTGCAATGGAGATGCCGCCTCTCCATCCATCGAGTGCGTTCCTCATTATGTATTCTCCATATAAATTGAACAGGTCTGGAGATAGTATGCAGCCTTGTCGTACACCTCTGCTGGTTTTGAAGGTATCAGATTGCTGGTTTTCAATTCTTATTTTAACTGAGTTATCTTCGTATAAGTTTTTAATTAATATTGCCAAATGATCTGGAACTCCCATCTCATGAAGAACTGTCCAGAGAACTTCCCACTTTACACAATCAAATGCCTTTTGGTAGTCTAGAAAACAGATTATTATTGGAATTTTAAATTCGCGGGCCTTTTCTATGAGCTGCCGCATATTAAGGATTTGCTCTCTCGTACCCTTCCCTTTGACAAAGCCTGCTTGTTCTTGGGGAATTTGGTTGTCTAAGTACTGTTGCAAACGGCGTTTGGCGTATGGGCATTGGGCATGAAATACATTCCTTTTCGCCTTTTTTATTGGTTCGTGATACAGTTGTGAGGCATGATGGATCATTGAAAGAATCTACAATAACAACAGATGATTTCTTTCCTCTATCATTCCACTTGCAAACAGAGAGTTCATTGCTTGTGGCATAATCGAACTCCCCGATTTTCAAGGCCTTGTAATTTTTAAGAAGATGTTTCGGATTATACTTTCTATTGATCCTAAATGTTCCACAGCTGAAAGTAGCGTTTGCCAGTAAGGTGGATAGCAAGTTAAATGATGAAAAATAGTTATCAAAAAATATACAGTACCCTTTATTGAAAAATGATTTTGAAAGATACAGTACTGTTCTTTCGCCTAATGTACCTTCTTCTTCTCCGTAGCTAAGTCCTTCATAAATATTGAAATCTAACATATATCCAGAGGCAGAACATGCTATTACCAACACCTTGAAGCCTCTTTTGGTGGACTTCATTGGCATATATTGCTTCAAACTTGACCTACCTTTGAAGCCCACCATATTTTCGTCTACTGCCAAATTACGAGACGGTGAAAAGATTTTAAATATTTATTAAAAAAATGAGAAAGTAATGGTCGTAATTTGTATAGTTTATCATACCCGGGTGTTCCTTTTCTAGGCATTGCTTGATTATCATTCAAGTGTAAAAAGCGAAGAATTTTCAGACATCTCTTTTGTCATTAAGTTTGCTATTTTGCTTACTCTGAAATTTTCATTCACAGACCAGTAAAATCTGATACTAGTCGATGGGAAGTCGATGAATCCTCATTATAATTAGTATACTGTTATATTTTTATTATAATTCTAATTTATTGTCTTTATTCTAATTTATTGTCTTTATTCTAATTTATTAAAACTCACGATAATTTATCAAAAGTCTTTATTTCCGTCTAATTTATTTTACACTTAAATAATTTATACGTTCGTTACATTTTAACGCTAGATCGCGATCTTCTTTTTGACTGCCTTCTTCAATAAAAGCTCCGTTATTATATATGAAAATACAGCTATTCGAGAGTTCAGGAGAATCCCTTTGATAATTCTAGGCCGGGTCATCACTCGACCGGTTTCTCTGGAAACTTCGAACGGCCGTTTTAGGTATATGTCTGATGTATATGTAAATTTAGTAATGTACCCTCCTCATGAGCATACTTATTCGATTCCTCTATAATTTTGTCTAATATAACATCGTCTTAAAACACATTCAAAAATTGGGAAGGTTTTATCTAGGTCGCAAATTGTTGAACCAAACGGTCGAAAGAAATTATTTCTTCAGATGGGTTAGAATCTGAGTCTGATTGGACAGAGTCAAGCAATAATTGGCCTCTTGGTAGTGGTTTTTCCAAGCTGTAGGTGGGGTCAACAATAGAATCGTCACTATCATAAGGTTCACTATCAGAGCCAATGCCTTATGGTTATTCCGTGAACATGATAGCCTCTCAGGTTTTTTATTTGTGGAAACACATCCAGGGGTGCTTGGACCAACTAAAGGTGTTGAACAGCCACTGCTTATAGATGTTACAGATCAAAATGTAACTTTAGTATCTTCGGGGTCACTGTCTCTATCATAACCAGAATCAACCGCTTGTTCGTCTGCAACTCCATCAATCAGTTCCTAAACTTCATCGGAAGTATATTTGTTATATCCAAAGTTTTTGGAAATACCATATTCTGTAAGTAAAATAAAAATAATTGATGTGATATCGATCTTACTTGTACAACAAATAAAGAGTAATCGATGAGTCTTTCAAACAAAAAAAAATATTCAAGCTAATAGTTGCTTTTTGTACAATTTTGAAAATGTAACTTATTTTTGCTATGCAGTGTACGTGAACTAAGTTTACATTACACCTGATATTTTCTCAGCCGTAACAACATATACAAAACGGTAGCAAAAAATACTTTCTATACACTATGTTACAATGATTATGTGTTATTATTTGTCATTATATTAGATAATATTTGAAATAATAATAAAAAATCTAACCTCACTTCACGCAAAGTCTATGTTATGCTTACCTGATACTCTCTGTAATGCAAAAATGGTAAAAAAAATGTTGAAAATCGTTTTGGAAACTGCTAAATTTTTATGCAATACTAGCGCGTGGTGGTCACCAAAATGATCACTTATTGCTAAAAGCTCGCGCAATTAAAGAAGTGGCTAGTCTCTTGGGCACCAACCATTCCGGTAAAACACTAAGTGATATTAGGAACATTATTTCATTAAACCGTCTGTAAATTTTTACTATTATGACCTTTACGGTGGTGGTTAGTACAGTGATCACCAACCGCTAAATGGTTAATATACTTTACATTTTATTTTTCCAATTGTAAATACTTTAGCGTTTTTACACTTTTTTTCCAATTTCTTGATAACTTTGCTTTTCCTCTCTTTCTTTTCAATAGTCCAAAATCATTTTTCCGGTTTTTTGTATTTGAAGTTTTAACGTTTTTCGGTGGATTTTGTTCATAAAAACTGTTCTGTTGTATATCTCGAGTTTTGACGAAAATATAAATCTTGTGACTGGTTTTTCTGTGGTTTTTCTATTTCTTATCAAGCTTGCTTATTTGATTACGTTTTAAAATGTTTTTAGTTGCTGTTCATTTTAATTAACAATATAAAAAATATAGTGTTTAAATCCCTGATTACTTTCTCCAGTAATTCAGCCTAAGGTTATATTATTCTCTATAT